GTGAAGTGTCGTCCACTTATGACAGCATCGCTCGCAGCCTTTAGCTAATATTTGGTTAAACTTTTGTAGTCGCTACTAAGTAGAGAGATTGGCCGATGTTCAAGCGGTCCAGAAGACTTGTGTCATATTTTAGGCACAACATATTGGCCTCGTTGAAGGAGCAAGCTTTCACGTTACTCGTTAGCCAATTAGTTTGTATTTTCATCAGCACGGGTGCAAGTTACCCAGAGAAATCTCTACGAAGGCTATTGACAACATCGTCTGGTCCGAAAGCTTCTCCATGATTGCAATTTGTTTACAAAAGCAAGGATATCTGACAAACACCGCGATTGTCGCGTTTGCACCATCTAACGAAAGGGGTCTTAGTTTTCTTGCAAAAAAATCTCGGCTACTTCGCATTATTAAGGCGTTTAAATAGGAACACCCTCGTTTTCCATCAGTCGTGTCATTAGCCAGGTCAATTAACCGATTAAACCGTAGGGGTCAGCTCCTTCTAATGCGATGTTTTTTTCTAAATCTCGCAGACACGCGAGAAAATAGCAGGCGGGAACTATCTTTATTGGTGTACATTTCTGTCGAAGTGTTATGTTTCAGCTTTCACCGTTGCCAGTTTAGATGACTTTCGACCAACTAAAGGCGTAGAATAGTAACCGTCTCTCCATAATTACTCCTGCTAACCTTGACTGCGAAAGTAAATACTATAAAATGTCGCAATAGATTATGGTTAGTACTTGTCATCTGCTGTCGTATCGTGCATATTCATCATATTATGTTCGGTTAAGACATACTTATCAATCGTCCCAATACCGCTTTAGGTTGTTTGCCGTAGATACATCAGTCTAAAGAATGCTGAGGAATACCTAAAGGATCCATGAACCTGAAGTTATAGCATTTAAAGAACGATTTTATCTGTACAGTGCACCTCATCTACGACAGGATACATAGACGGCCTAATTTACAATGTTGAACATATGCTTTCGGCGCTGCAATTCGAACGGTATTTTTAGTGTAATGTGAATTCTGACCGAAAATTTTCATGCTGATACTTCCTATTCAATCGGAAATCTGACGCTCATTACATCTATTCAATCGAGAGCTTGCCTGCGCTCTTCTTAGCAATGTGTATGTGTGCGTTTTTGCTTAAGAATTAAAGTGATTGCGCTCTACTGCCAAAATTCCGTGTCATCCCCAAGCACGCCCGCAATCTTCCTAAATTCCAGTAACGGTGTAACTCATGTAAAATGATGGATTTTGTTGTTTCTCAGATATAAACGTTTCAAAATTGGGAACAAGTACAATTTTAATAACCTTCAAGTATCCCGGTCCTCCAAAGCTCTGAAGCACCGTTGTAGCGACTAAAAACAATCGTTTTTGATTGTACCTGTCGTTTGGTGCATTAGGCATCAGTATTTTAAACTACTCCGTGTTTATTCTGCCACTATCCCCTTACAATGCGACATTCATGCCTTTTCCATTCATGGCCTTTTTTCTCCTATACTATTAAGTAGGTATTGAGCAGTGTTGCAAATCCTCCTTTACCCTTTAACGACTCCGACCATGACTTCATTCCTCGTTTTTCGTCAGTCTACTTTTTTGGAGCACAAAAGCGCAAATTAAGACCTATTGTCGATACGTATACATTGTATGTTTCTTAATGCAGCACAAAATCGAAAACTCCGTACTCGTCATGCTGGCGGAAGCTGATTAACTACTGTGCGCAAAGTACTGGGTCTTTGGGAAGGCGTTGTACGTTCTGAGAGTGAAGTTCAATTGTGTTTTCCAGTTAGCGTCAAGCTCGTTCAACGGGGAGGGCGCATATACGGAAATGGGGACAAATCTTTCTGCTTGCAATAGATACGCCAATCATGCACTTTATGTATTTAAGGTAGTAGGTGCGCCAGTATAAATACGGACACAGTAGCATACACATCAACGTTGTGTGTTCTTAGACGCGGACGGGAATAGCATGAGCATCGTACGCGATGGGGCTTATAGCCTCACTCCAGTCTGTATGTTGTGTTGAATGCGAAGGTTGACGTGAGCGCTCAGTTGATGATGCTTGTGGCTGAAGTAGTAAAATTTAAAGTGATTAGATATTTTGTGTTATCTCTTATCTTTTATGCACTCATATCGTCGATTGCTGTCCAATTCTTTACATCTCTTCCTTGCTGACCACCCATTTAATCAAGCAATCACTGTTCATCGTTGCGCTTGCTTTCTCTTTAATGTGTGCCACAAAGTCTTGGATTGTACTACAGTCATAAGAGTTGGGAAAGGCTTTGCCTGGCAGGACAGTGCTGGTGAACCCCATCACATCAGGACCCACAGGCTTCACTTATCTGCTGACACCGGGTCTCGAAATTATGACCTTAGGTTTACCTGTGCCAAAGTCTACCACTTGAGCTACAGAACTAGTGCAACTAAGCGCACTTACTTACTTATATCTAGTTGTAATTTCTTAGCACAATCCATTTCACACTTTTTCACGCAAGCACAGAACCTTTTATTAATAAGCCGTATCACCTTATGTCATCAGTTAAGATACGATGCCGAATACAGTTGTGCGTACAGCTAAAGAAGAGTCTTCCTCATACGCTTTTGTCTGAGGCATTGAGACCACAAACGAACTTCTCGCGGGTGTATGGGTAGGTGGCATCAAACGGATATCCTATAAAACTCCCTAGTCATCGATTGAGAAAGGTATAACGACGGTTGAGCACAGCAACTGTAGGTGCAGTTGACGAACTTTTCTGCTTTGTTGCATTTAGTCTGTATTCATCCGCCCAAAGGATCCTTTCTAATCAGCAACTCAAACGCTTCCGATGAAGTAAACAAACTGTTTGAGCTCTGATTCGGCATGGGTAGCACTCTGGCTAATCACCACAAAATGTATCTCGCTTTTAAGGGCAAGCCCAAATATTTTCTAAAAACGCTTACGTCACGTAATATAAGCATTGGATCGGAAAGGGTAGCGCAATTTTACAGTCCTTCATGTTTCGTTGGACAATGCCATGTCCATTTATTCTGACCAGAAGCAGTAGCAGGCAATTTTTGAGGTATGCTGATTACACAAGAACGGTCCATGACCAAATTCTTGATCAAGAGTACCTTTGATTCTTCGCAACGAGAATCACCAGTCAGTGCAGCCTCTCATATGCCTGTAGGTGCATTCATTAAAAAATTGCGGGCTCTGGACTTCGTGAGGGCTCGTGTGTGCTCTTTGGTTACTTTCGCTGCATTTCGTTGACCCTGATTATCGTTCGTTCGAATGAAGGCGATGAATAAGTGGGATGCATCCTTGGAACACGTTGTATTAACCTAAAAAAAGTTTATTGTTTTAGTAGAAACACTGAGAGTATTACAGAAATCGCACATTTTTAATAAAAAATCTCAGGTCCTTATGTGTGCACATAAACTAGATCTGTCGAATTTTTTGTTGCCGATATCGTCTAGTCGCATTGTGTTTCCGGGATGTAATATTGAATCCAAATGAATATTCACATCGGCCTGAGGCTGCGTAAAGCATCAAATGCATAATACACTGTGCCATCCAAATAACGGCGATGCACATTGTTAGGATTCTCGGTACTGGATTTGACTCTGGTAATGTGGTGGTCTATCATTTTCAAGCCATGAGCATCCCTTGTTTTTGCCAATAGGACAGGGGTCCCATGTTGACGGCGTTTTCTCGTGAGCATTTAGAAAGACAAGAGAATAGACTCTTTGCTATGCTGGCACAAAATATTGGCGATCGATTTCAGGCAAACCCTGCCAATCATCGGAGGCGCATCAGCACAAGTAGGAGGGTCTCTAAACAGTGAACCTGAGGGCAAAACCGAGCACTAGCTTCAGCTTCTACTCACGTGACAGCCTCAGTTGTTGCGATCTCGGAAGAGGCAGCAGCACAAAATTCGTGGTCAAGGTCCAAATTGTTGCCTTCGTATCTCAATGCAAACCCGGCCGTTTCCATTTTTCCGGGACCAAAACCTTTAATTTTCGATCCCCTCGTTGTTTGCTACAGGATAGGAATCCTTCGCTAGGGTCAATCGGTACGGAATGTAAATTGCGTGGACCGTTAATTTACAAAGGTACGGGTCAGTGGCTTCACTGTTAGTGGTCCGAGATGTACGCATAACGAAGGTTTTCCAGTCGTTCTTGCCACCCAAACTTTTCATCTTTAAAGGGTGTGTAATTGTCCGCACTTGTACTATTTTGTATCTTGTCAAGCAATGTTAGGTCATTCGTATTCGTCTTCGCCTAAAACAGGTTAAACCCGCCATATCATTTAACAAAATGTATTCGGTTGCGGTGGCAAGTTCGTTTGCGCAGGCCTGTGAGGATTGGTAATCGAATGCTTCGGAGAAGGCGTGACCCGGTATTAGGAAATCTCTTCCGTTCGACAGCTTTCGTTTTTGGCCCAGTTTTGCGGAAGTGTTTACACATGTCACTTGCTTGACAATGGCCTTCGAGGGACTCGCTTTAAATGACGCTTGGATGAGAGTCCGGCGTACGTCATTTTTCTTTGGTGTTTTGCGCTTTCTTCCATCCCTAGGATCAAACTAGCCAGCGGTGGGAAGGAAAGCCATTCCTGCACTAGTTGCATTCGGCTGGTAGTGGCATGACCGTGATAGTGGATGTAACGGGATTACATAATGGTTGTGAGAACCAGATGCATTGGCGTGGTACACATAGAAAGTGATCAGTGTCACGGATAGGGCAAAATTTTGCATCACAAACGATAAGCGATAATAACGCACGCTATTGTTGATGGACAAAAGATTTCTTTTATTATTAAAGTATCCATAGAGGCGACGAAGTCCTGGTAAAAAAATTTCATTATGCTAGTTAGAGTAGAAAGAGTGATTTAGTGTAAAACCTACCTAAAGAGATTGAAAACTAGGCCGGGCCAAGAATTACAGTGGAAACGAGATACCCGACCCCGCCAACCACAGCCAAATAAGACAGAACAGTAAGTAGAAGCACCGACCGAAAATCAAGAGATGACACCCGCGGCAGATATCCCGCAGGCGAAGAGACCCGCCACCGGCGGAGAGGACGCAGAGCGCCAGTCGACAGCAAGGGTCACAGATCAAGGCGGCGGACCGGCGACGCCAACCGAGGAGCAGTTAACCGCGACCCAGCAGTTTTTGGCCAGGATAGCGGCAGGTCAGGAGACGCTCGCCGGGATGAAACGGCGCAGGAAGCAGGAGCTGAAGGCCGCACGCGAGAAGAATCCCCGACCGGACTTGGACCAGTTCGAGACGCGTGCCGTGTTCCAGAAGAGGGCCAAGAAAGGCAAAGACCGGCTGGGGCTGAGACGGGTGTCGCGGAAGAAATGCCGGGTGAAGAAGCCGAAGCGAAGTGGGTGCTTCGTGATAGGCGGACCCAAATAGCCACCAGCAGCCCCGGTCACGTTGACGGAGGAAGACGAAGACGGCAGCGACGCGGAAGGAGATGACGAAGACGACGACTACGACTATGGCGGAGGTGAAGATGCGCAAGGCGACGGCGACGGCGAAGAAGAAGAAGGAAACAACGACCACATCGAGGATGATGACGGCGGAGGGGCGAGCGGAAGAGAAACCGCGACGGAGACGCCCGGGCCGACGGCGGAACAGCAGTACAACTAAGACCAGAGTGCCACGCGCCAATGGTTGATCGACCACGTCTCTGTGGGCGAGGCGGTACCGTGGCCTGCGGACATCCAACGGACGCTCACAAAGTTGAACCCGGACAACATATCAATCCGGATGGACGGTGCGCGGGAGGAGAAATGCGGCTGCGTAGAGAGATGCTTTCTTGGTTGCTGCAGGAATGCCCGCGAGGCGCAAGTGTGTGAGGCCGAGACCTGTTCGGTAGGGGCCAAGGGTTGTGAGAACCGGTTCCGTCAGCGACGGCTGACCCTGAAGCGGACCGACATGGGGCTGGGGTGTTCGCTGCCCGCTCGATCCGAGCGGGCGACGTCGTGTGCCAGTAAATACGGGAAGTACGCACATGAAGTATCCCCGTACGCCCATTACACGATCGAGCTGACGGAGAGGGACGTAAACGGGTGGCGAGTATATGTGTGCGCTGAGGACGGCGGCTCGATCGCGCGGTTCATAGCCCACGCCTGCCAGCCAAACACTAATTTCTTGGAAGAGAGAGGGATACGGAGGCCAATCATATCCCTCGTGGCGCAGGTCGACATTCGGATCGGGACAGAGATCACGGTGAACCAAACCGGGGCGACAGGGGAGACGTTGTCGTTCCAGTGCCAGTGCGCGCCGTCCATCAAGCCCAAGACGCGACAACGTAGGCGGTGAGTAAGTAGATCAAAAAGGCCTTAGAAGGGGTAGGAATGAGTAGTGAGCTGGAAGTAGTGAATGGTGAAGGGGATAGCTTGGAACCATAGGGGATTAAACCAACAAATACAGAAAGTTTCCATCCAAAGCGGAACCTTAGGCATTGGTGGTCGGTGTGAAAACATCCACCCACCGCGCGAAGACCCAGAAGCGACAGGTAGATGGCACGAATAGCACTGTAGGAAGTACGTCCAGCCATCAAAAAGGTCGAACCAGTCGTAGTGATGGAGCAATCAGGTCGCATAGGCCGCCAGATAGTCCAAAAACTTGTAGTCTCGAAAAGTAACCCCAGGCAGTGGTGGTCGGTGTGAAAACATCCACCCACCACGCGAAGACCCAGAAGCGACAGGTAGATAGCAAGAATAGCACTGTAGGAAGTACTTCCAGCCATCGAAAAGGTCGTACCAGTCGTAGTGATGGAGCAATCAGGTCGCATAGGCCGACAGATAGTCCAAAAACTTATAGTAACCCCACGCAGTGGTGGTCGGTGTGAAAACATCCACCCACCGCGCGAAGACCCAGAAGCGACAGGTAGATAGCAAGAATAGCACTGTAGGAAGTACGTCCAGCCATCGATTAGTTCGTACCAGTCGTAGTGATGGAGCAATCAGGTCGCATAGGCCGCCAGATAGTCCAAAAACTTATAGTATCGAAAAGTAACCCCAGGCAGTGGTTGTCGGTGAGAAAACATCCACCCACCGCGCGAAGACCCAAAAGCGACAGGTAGATGGCACGAATAGCACTGTAGGAAGTACGTCCAGCCATCGATTAGTTCGTACCAGTCGTAGTGATGGAGCAATCAGGTCGCATAGGCCGCCAGATAGTCCAAAAACTTATAGTATGGAAAGCGACGAAGTCCTGGTGTAATACACAAGAAGAACTACTACGAGATCTGTTGAGTTAGGTAGCATACTGGAAGGTTAAAGATGTAAGTGAGGTTCGTTTTTACTTTGAATCATCTTACGCATTCAGTTACCCTGTTGATAAGTATCAGACATGTGTCTTTTTAAGACGCCTCTGTTTGTAATAGTTAGGTGCCTGAGCGAAGGCAAGGTGCTCTCGGGTGTTAGTTTCGCGTACTCCTTGGAGTCGAAGTCCCCCCCCCAACTAGGACTAGAAGCTAAATAGCTTGAGCAAATAAGTCTCACCAAGTCTGTACAACCTGAGACCCTTTAAGTAAATACCTGTTTAGTTTGATACACTGCGATACTCTGTGAGTTTAAAACTCTTGCTCCTACAAAGGAGTGCGAGCAGCTTCTCTACAGTAAAGCATAAAAATGTGGTAATTAATTCGGTTGATTTGATACACATTTGCTTGGACATACGGATGCAGACAAATGCACCAAGCGTGGCGTCTTGCAAATCTCGTCCATTAAGTTTGTTTTCGTTCCTTCAGACAAACGATTGCACTTTAAGTGTACAAAATAGATCCCTCTCCATCCAGGTAATTTAGCGCTATGAGGCGCTGGATAGACCAAATCAATTTTACACTTTACAATCGTAGACAATATTGCCGTTATCATACCAGATGATAATCTAGTGGCAAGCACCCGACCCTTGTAGTGTAGCAGATCGCCAGCAAGAACGTTGCTGTCAGGGACATGAAGCGGTGAGCATTCGCGCTTAAGAATTGTGGGGCTTTAAAGTTGCAGGATAATACCTCTGTACCCGATATGAAGTGCCGGCCGACTGCAGCCGCTCGATCAGCAATATTAAAGGTGAGTCGACGCGTTCTTCATCGTATTTTGTGCATTTCAAGCGCCTTAGGCGAATATTCCGGATTGCTCAAAAACAGCTGGAGGAGCAATGTATTTCCGGCGATGAAGGCAAGCATAAAAAACTTGGGTCGAATACTAACTACAATACTTCCTTCGAGGTAAGCTTAAAAAAGCAAGCTTCGCTTTGCATTACACATGTGGGTGTACAAGACAGAAAACGTGGAGAAATAGGAAGCGTAATGCTTCCAATGACCTAAGCGACTGAAGATTCTTCTTTTACTGCAAGCATCGGAAGTAGATCTACGTTTGCCTAGGCATTCCACGGCCGCCTTGCTACCCCAATATAAAGTTTTTGTTTATCATCCATGGTCCCACTGGCTTCTTTTTACACGACCGTGCATTTATAGCTAAACGATAGGCGGTCACGGGGGCAGGTAAGTACTACCGGGTAAGCTAGAGTCATCAAAATTCCCTTGTAAATTCCCAAAGAACCTAGAGTTTACGAGTGCAAAAACGATCCATCGAGCCTTCTTCAGGGGCAGGCGGTGGTGGTAAATGAGCTCATAGGAGCGGAAAAGCGTCTGCCGCAAGCCCGCTGCTCATGTCAAAAGTGGGTGCACACTTTCACGTGCCGCACTGTGATTGTTTACTTGCACCATCAAGCGCAATTTTGAAAATGGGGACTAACTGAAGTGGCACCATGCATAATTCCATCCCGTATATTCACTGCACCTCCTCATGCCTTGTTACGTGTAATCTAACAGGGTTACACGCGGTTACTGAACCAATTACGTTGTGTGTCCAAAATAGGTAAAGATCGGTGGATTTGAGTAGTACAGTCTTGGTACCACGTGCTTACCATAATACTGCGCCTTACTGGTAGGGATCAGGATTAAAACTTCTGTCATAGGATCGCAATGTAGAAGTCAGTCAGGTAAGGTTTTATGGTTTTATTACCGTAGTTAAAGAATTAGAAAAAGTTCAGTTTCCCTTTTGAATCGCTGGATGCTAGTGACTATTCAAGGCATAGTGTGTTGTAAGAGTGTTAGTCTTGTGAGGTTCTTACTCTTGCTCAACTAGTAGTCTTTAGTGAGTGAGTGATTCTGTGAATTGTAATCCCTTTGGAACCAGGATTGTTAAGCTTGTACGCTTGGACGACTGTACGTCATTGTTAGTTTGTTTTGTCTAAGAGACTCTTTGAGTTCAAGACCTCCTCTGTTAAGGAGCTAAGTGGCTCCAATAAACTTAGTAGCACATGTAGTCAATCTACAACTGAGTCTTCACAAACTGAATCCTCTGTGAGGATGGGAAATCCCTGGACCTCTCTGAGGCCCAAAAGGTCACGCTTAATAAGTTTAAGGCATTGATCGGGCATAAGCACGTGACCCTTTGATAGCGAAAGGCCTGGATGAAATTCGTGCACGTCTCGAGGCATTATCAAAATCGAGTTCACGTTGGCTGGACAGGTCCGTGACCATTAGGCATCTGCCATGCCCACGCGGTATGTTCCGATACCAGAAACTGATTCAAGTACACTTCCTCTAGTCTCAAGTGTCTAGCATTATGAGGTACTAGAGAGAGTAAAGTCACCTAGTGTGGGTTCGCGAGATGGAGATTGCCATCAGCTCGGCCTTGCTGCGGTCAGAGAAGCAGAAGGTGAGCCTGGCCCTATGAAATCCAGATAGTTGAGCCAGGGGGCGGGCGTTCACTTCCGACCACTCGATAGGAGAGGCTTTTCCCACCTGGGACATGCTAAAACAGCAGCTATCTCGGTTATTTGCTCCGCTTAGTCAGGCATCTCGCGTGCGATCACGCTGCCTGTCAATTCACCTGGGTTAAAGGTCTTAGTCGGTTATGTCCAGGAATTGGGAACTCTTTTTGCTGCTGTGCAACTTACCTCTTTACCTGAGACGGTTTCGGTAACCATTTTAGAGGGTCTTAGCATTGGCGTTGCTGGAACAGAAGTGTTTCGTGAGCAAACCTTCACTTTTGAGGGTGCAGTGGATATAGCGTTGAACGCAGAGCTAAACTCTAAAGCTGCCCCATACGAGACTCATGTGCTCCAATCGAACTCGTCGAGCAATACTTATCTCATGGAAAGGGCAGAATTTATGGATCTTAGTCTCGCTTATAGAGACAAAGAAGCTGAGCTTTAGGCTGTAGAACTGCGTTCAAACATCCGTAGATGTCTTACGTGCGGGAGCATTTAATACTTTCGCCCCAACTTTTCATTGATAAAGACCAGACAGGCTCATTCTAGCCGACCTCCCGTTGGTTACGAACGTGATGGTAAGGCGCAGGATAGCGTCGAGTCCCAGTAGGCGCAGGGAGAGACCTTCTGGGTAGGATTTCAGCTCAGTTGTACCACTTGGAGGTGATATAGAGCAGGGCCTAGTCCCAAGTGGCTTCTTGAGTAATGTAACGAAGCATGAGTACAATCCAGGTTTGTTAGTTGCAAAAGCAACGGTAAAAGGCTTTGATAAGCCATGTACAATTTTAGTCGAGTCTGGGCGTCATAAATTACGATTTACAGTGTTGCCTGGAAGGAAGTTAGCAGTATGCTGAGGCGCTGAAAGCGCGGAAGAATAAGACTAACACTGTTCGTTAGGCGACAGGTGCATTATTTAATGTGCCATAAGTTCCTGTAAACTTGGGCGTCCAATTTTTCGAACTTTAACAGTATTGAAAGCTGTCTAGTCTTTAACTTAGATAAGAGGTACAATCTCGATCTTGGTTTGGCTTGGCTAGAACAAAAAAAGTCATGGATTGACTAGAGGTCAAATACCTTATGCGCAACGCGCACTGTTCCTAGCGGAGCTATGGAAAGTTATGAGCCCACCTCTGCAAGGAAACAGAAACTCTATTGGTGCGATCCACGAACTGAGACAATTAGTGTGCTGGACATCGGTAAAGCTGAACTCTTTGAGTTGGACGATGTCAAAACCATCACCGTGTTAACCATAATTTGCCCAGGACCAATGTCATTGCCTAGAAATAGGACTACACTGTGTCCAAGGTGAAGAACTGCATCAAACTCAATTTGATCTAATCTGATTCAATGTCATTACCGACATCTATTGATGACTCACTTACATAGGTATCACCATCCAGTGGGTACTTAAGAGCCACTCCACGCTCATCTAACGGGCGTTGCCTTGATGACTTAGTATATCACCAGCAATGTCCTGAGTTACTATTGTGTCGCAATCACAGCCTACATTACTCAGTGAGTGCCATCTTGCC